GGCATGTTTCCTGTTCTTCGTCTGTCTGCAGGTTGGTGGATGACCGATGTGTGGTTGAGCCAGCTGCTGGAGATTTGGACAACCCCCCAAAGAAATTCAGGGGTAAGAGTTGGTGTTGCTGTGTTTTGGATCAGTGATGGTATTCTGGTATTTATTTAATTTGGTATAAATGTCTGCTGCTCTATTTAAGTGATAAACAGATTCATGACGATGGGACCGAGTGAAGCAAACCTCCAGTGTGTTGTATGAAATATAAATGGAGTGCGTGTGATGTTAGTCCAGCTATGATCATCAGAGACCATCGGAGGAGAAGTTTTCCACCAGCTGCTCTCTGATGGTTTCTCTCTCTTATAAACTTACTTCACCATCTGCTCTCATTGAGCAGCTGAACCAGTTTATAAGTGGACCACAAACAGTGACTGACAGCAAAAAGTTAAAAAAGTTAAAATCCAGAACAGACAGCGGCTCCAGCGTCTGATGATCAAACTTATGAAATTGTTAAATTGCATTTAAACATCTCACACATTTCCTCAGCATTACTGGTGGCTGACAAGACAGTCCACATGGAAAACATAAGAAGAATAAGAACAAAGGTCATCTTATCTTATCTTACCATCTGATAGCAAAACAAAGAAGACATAAGAGCAGTGTATAGACTTAACAGGTAGACTGATGGACTGAAGGTCACTGTGCTGACTGTTTAAACTAATTTTACAAATAAATAATCTCTCTCTTTATCATAAGTCTTTGCCCTCGTGAACTATGTTCCTTTTTTATTTAAAATTTGAAATCTTGGCATTAAGTAGGTCACACTGTTAGCAGCTCTGACACATAAAAACTATTTCAAAAACTCTACAAAATGTATGAGAAAGTTCATAAAAGCCAATAAGGCACAAAGGAGTGTGGACGCACTGTTAAAGGTGCAGGAACACAACAATAGTGTGTAAATGCATTAATTTATAAAGAAAAACATGAATTATTTGAAGTAAGAACACAGTAATGATAATATATAATAATGAATATAATTTGAATTATTAGATAAAATAAATAAAGCCATGTTCTGAAATATAAACGTTGAAGCTGTTTCTCCAAATGTTTTTAACCCAATTTTTATATCAACTAAAAAAAATCAGTCATCGTTGTTCCTTCAATTACAGCCTAATTAAATACTCTATGATTTCTCTATGGTTGTTTCAAAGCTTAGTACTCTACATTAAGCTGATTTTTACAACATTCATATCCTAGTAATGTTACACAGAGCGATTACACACAGGCAAATTCTGTTTGCTATACAAACACACAGTTGGAGCAGCGTGAAAACATACAGGATCTGCTGGAGGAGAGTCAATATTTGCCCGTCTTCTGTGCTCTCGCATCACTTCGCTCCAACTGTATCAGTTTTACTGAACGCTGCTCTCTCCAGCAGTCTTTTAATTGCTTATTTATCTTGTCTAATTAAACGAAGTCTGTCTGTCTTCTGTGCACTCATATTGACGTTTCACTCATTCATCGTGCCCACATGATGAATCCTAACCGCCATGGCGATGCCTCACATTTTCATTGTGCACAAATATCTGCCGCTTCCGCTTCCATAGCGCACAAACAAGTGGCTTGAAGTCACTTATCACACAATTCTTTTTGGCTTGTGTTTAAATAGCAGCATGATTGGTCGATTTCTGGAAGCCTGCCAAAAGGAAACACTCAGTGCAAAATAATATTTTTGTTACTGATTAACCTTTTCAATATTTTTATTAACCCTTACATATCATAAAACAAGACAAATGTCCATCAGATTTTATCTCGGTATGTTATTAAATCCTTTGGGATTTAATAATGATGATCTTCAGGGTTTTATGCTATACTGGGGCGATCGAGGCTCAAGAGTTGGGAGTTCGCCTTGTAATCAGAAGGTTGCCAGTTCGAGCCCCGGCTTGGACAGTCTCGGTCGTTGTGTCCTTGGGCAAGACACTTCACCCGTT